TTGTTCCCTTGCCCTTACAAGAATCATTTCCTATCACAGTGCCTGTGGCTGAGTCTTCATCTTCCTGATCCCCCTCCTCCAGCAACCTCCAGCACTTTCAAACTTCATCCAAAAAAAGTTCTTTCCATCTCTGCTTCTACCTCCCCCTGCTGCTGCCACTTACGTCATTTGTAAGTGTGTGAGGCATCTTTATAGAGCACAGAGCTCCTATTGAGAGGTGCAGGATGAATTCTGCACGTGACACCAAATGAGATATTTTAACTTTAGATATTTTTTTTAATAAACCTTTTATCTCAAAATAATCATGCCATTATAAGGTCATTGGAAAATTGTTCAAATAATTAATTACAGAACTATGCAAAGGCTGAACTATACATTTTTTTTTGTGTACAGATTTTGCTCTTAATATTCAATAATTTGTAGTAATAAATACTTGACTGACATTAGTTTCTGCATAGCATTAAGGAATTTACTTTCAAACTCAATTTTAGATGCAGAATCGAACCTCCATTCTCAATAAAGCTGCAGCAGTATGTTAATGAAAACTCACATTAAGGCTGGGTCTGAATGAGCAGCCAAAGAAGACATTAAAATATTCTAAGAGAGCTCCAGTTTCCTGATACGAATGGTTATGTTTTCTTTTTACAAGGAAAGAGATGAGTTTCAGGTTGATTGATTCTGTATGCCTGACTTTTAACTGAAGTGTTCATCTACGATTGGTTACAATGAGAGCCATAATCTATGCTCATCCTACAACTATCCTGTGGCTGATCGCACCTGGCAGCGTGTAGATGAAGAGCACCAGGAAGACAATGAGAATAAGCAGAATGATGCCGATGATGATGTACTTCTTGTAATTTCTCCAGATCAGGTGGTACAAACACTTGAAAGGATTTACGAACCAAGAGAAGGATGTGTCTGGTCGGCTAAAGAGGAAGAAAGAAAGAGAGAAAAACTTTTGTAAAGGCAGATCCAGCTATTCTCAATGCTACCTCATGGCAAAATACATATTTGAGTCTAAAAAAGAACTTTAACTCCTGGGAACCCACTAAAGAGTTTAGAGAGAACTCCCACAACTTTCACCTATTATTGGGTCACTCTTCTTCCATCCGTCCCCGAGCCCAAACTCCACATACTACTCAGAATGAAATTCCTGTTCACACTTCATAACTACTCCAATTTAAGGCAAGATATGGTGTTCAAAATTACAGACAAGATGATGGCAAGTCCTAAGAAGAAATGCAGACATCTTGAACGTGAGTACAAAAGCTTTCCAATCATTGCAAGGAATTTAGCATTGCAAAAGAAGTAATGAGCCACTACAAAAAAATTTGATTGCTCAGTGATAGTCATGGTGCCATAACAGTCAGAGCAAGCTCAGGCCTGGCATACAGCCCAAAATACAGTATTTTCAAAAGGAAATTTAAAACAGGCCTCCTGAAAACAGGAGACGAGATAAAACCCGAAATCTAGGTAGTTTCCCTGGGTATATAAAGAAAAGCTACATTCTTCTGGTGGAGAATATCTGCACTCCACAACCCTAAGTTTTTTCCAAATGTTGCCCCATGTCATATTCTCCTCCATAACCAGGAGTTTCTTCACACTGTACATTAAAACTGGCTGCATACAGAAAGGAAAACAATGTTCTTAGGAAAAATGATGGTGCATTTTCTCCTCTGGCACGCCCCACAACTTGGGAGGTCACCTTGGGAGGACTTCAACAGCCCTGCCCCTGTGATGAGCTGAGGCAACATCTGTCAGCTTTGTATGATGGGATGACTTGACAAGTGTGGAGCAACATTAACACCTGCCAAATTTGGTGCAGGTTGTCTTTCTTATCCAATACCACTGTAATTGTGCAGATGGTACAGCAGTAAGGAGAATGAAATTGAGACTGAGGGTCACAAAAAGCAATGGCCATTTCTCACTCCAGAAAGCTGTTTAAAGAATTGAGGCAATGTCTTGGTCATCTGAAGAATTCATCATTCGGCATGTGGAAGTGAATGCCAATGTAACAGAAAGTCTGAATATCTTTTAATTAAAGACTGTGTTTTATTCTGAGGTAGAAAAGAGTCAGAAATAAATCAACAAATAACCTTTCAGGTTAAAAGGAATTATTGAAAAATTGATATGCTAAAGTTACTGAATCACAGACTTGAGTAACAAAACCATCAGCCTGCATGTTCCAACTGCTTAAGGGCTTTTCGTAACAATTAAAGACAGGGGGAAAAAGCCAGACTGTTGCTCATTTCATTTGTTTTCTTTGCAATGTAGGCAATAGAATTCGGTACCTGTTACAGCAGCATATTTGTTATAATGGAGTGCATCTGGAGAAGCATCCTGTCTTGACTGGCAGAGATGGAGGGATGGATAACCTCATGGTGCTTTGGCCAGTGGTAAATTACACTCACTACACCTTATTTCTCATTTGCATGTTTCTTTTTAGTTCCCAGACATTTAATCTTTGTCCAAATTTGCTCTGGTACATTAAGGAGTCTGCTACTGTCTAGTAGCTCCTAGAAGATAATCTTGGCTTGGAAATGATTTTATTTCTTAATTTAAAAATGTAATTCTGCAAAACAATCTGAACATTTCTCTACTTCTCTGTGTGAGCTTACATGATTAGCAAAAAAAAAAAGTGAACCTACAGTACTGGCATAGAGATATGGAGGTCCTGACACAAAGCTCTTTGAGGTCCACTTCTTCCTGAAGAGAACTCATTTGAAGTGCAGAAACAGTTATCTTTTCTTTCTCAGTCAATTTTGACTACTCTGCATGTATAAACTACATATTCCATCACCTGGGGGTACTGAGCTGGTAAACTTTAATGCCAGCTTGATGGAATCGAGGCATGCAATGTCTTCAACTATGAGGTTATTTTCTTTCCAGTGAGTGCCTACCTAAAATAGTATTTACTATCCACATGCTGATATTGCTTTAGTAACCTTAGGATTTATGTTGCCTAACTTCAAAACTCAGATGCCTAGCCTGGTCAGTCACATGGGCTGTCTGCATGTGGAGAGGAAGGATCTTCTGGAGGATGATTCATTTCTTTCCCCAGCTTCCATCTTAAGACAGGTGTGTTAGGTAAATGGGATGACTTGCCCACCTGTACAAGGGCAGCTACAAAAGGAGCCTGAATGGCTTGTTTCTGAGATGGGTAATGTCAAGTGAGACTAGCCCCACCCTAATTTCAATTTAATTGAGGCATACATCTCAATTAAGAGTGGAACTGGGTTGAGATGTGTTGGTTGTGTATTTCATCATAAAAACCTACATGTGGAGCCTCTCTGATTACTCAGTACTCTGGAGGAACACACTGATTTTGTGGCTTCCAGGTCAAAACACCTCCAGGCTGTCTGTGCAGCAGAGAAGGGGCCACCAGGCTAGTGACAACCTTTTGGTTCAACAATACATTTGCAGATAAAATGCCCTTGACATGAAAACCCCAGGCTTCCTGGGGTGCATAGACTGGGCCTGAAAAAGTGAGAGGAAAATGAGAGGGTGCCTTCATGCATCCTGGTGACAACCTTCTGGACATGTAATCTTTCTATTACGCACTACACTCCCTCTTATATCCACCTAGGCTGATTGCTTCCCACCAGATGTATTTCAGAGCTATCCCAGTCCTCTCTTCTCTGTAGGACAGTGCTTTAGTTTCCATTACTGGGAATCTTTCAGACAGGCAACTGTCAGGCATAGATCATCCTTCCTTGGGGTAACTATGTCGGGTGAAATGATTGATTAAAGTCTTTCCAAGGCTAATTTTCAACAAGTCTCTGATACCTCTGATTTTCAGGCAAAATTTATACCCTTTGTAGGGGTATTGGGAATTCCACCTTTACGCTGTTTTCTCCTTTTTCATGTTTATCCTGAGATATATATCAAACAAACAAACAAAAAAACCAAAATGTGCAATGATTATCATTATGATTAACAATTGATTTTTAGAAGCTTTGGTAACAGGAAATATAACATCAATTTCCGTCTCTCTCTTTTTTTTTTTTAATCTAGCTCATTACTTGAGTAGAACTAAGTACTTGAGCCAAAGTAAATTAGAAGAACATTTTTCTGAATGCAAAAATCTCAGCTGATATTTTTTTATTGTGACAAATACTGAAAGATAAAATGCTCCTTCTAGATCATCTGCCTTTGTTAGGCACTTAAAATGTCCTCATTAAAAACTCTTATGATGAAAAATAAGCATCGTCATTCTTTGATTATGAAGTACAAAAAAATTAGAGATAGATTTGTTAAAGTTGTATCATTCCTGTATGACCTGAATTTCCTGTTTTATATGCCTTTATCTGCAAGTGATTAATCTATGCAAAAATAACTAGATGCATGCAGAGGTCAGTTTTCCATAGATATGTAGCAACTAAGACACTTTTAAATCTGTGCAGGTAATTCTTAGAATCATAGAACCACAGAATCATTTAGGTTGAAAAAGACCCTTAGGGTAATTGAGTCCAGCTGTAAACCTAACACTACCAAGTCCATCACTAAACCATGTCCCCAAGAGCCATGTCTACAAGCCTTTTAAATACCTGAAGTCACCTGATCGTGACTCAACCACTTCCCTGGGCAGCCTGTTCAATTCTTGACAGCCTTTTTGGTGAAATAATTTTTTCTAATATTCAGCCTAAACCTCCCCCAGTGCAACTTGACGCCATTTCCACTCATCCTATCACCCATTACCTGGGAGAAGAGACCAATACCCACCTTGCTACAGCCTCCTTTCAGGCAGTTGTAGAGGGCGATAAGGTCTCCCCTCAGCCTCCTCTTCTCCAGACTAAACAACCCCAGTTCCCTCAGCTGCTCCTCATCAGGCTTGTGCTCCATATCCCTCACCAGCTTTGCTGCCCTTCTCTGGACACGCTCCAGTGCCTCAATGTCCTTCTTGTAGTGAGGGGCCCAGAACCAAACAGTATTCGAGGTGCTGACTCACCAGTGCCAGGTACAGGGAGACTTCCCTAGTCCTGCTGGCCACACTATTTCTGATACAACCCAGGATGCCATTGGGCTTCTCAGCCACCTGTGTGCACTGACGGCTCATATAGTAATTTTAAAACACTTAAACATTAATGGCTTATAGTTACCCTCTTAATATAGTAAGTATAATGCATAAGTTATGATGGTTTAAGAGGTTATCATGTGCCAGGTCAGCTAGGGAATGAGCCCATGTGTGAACTATACTTGAGGACAATGGGCAGATTTATTTCAGCTTCCAGAAGAAGGCATTTCAGCTAACCTGGAAGGTGCTGCCAGCTACAACTGCCAGCAGCCAGCCTCATCACGAGGGAGCCCAGTGATGCACAAGCTGGCCAAATGGCTTGCTCAAGGTTACAGCAGAAAAGAGGAGAAAAACCAGGAGAGGAGCAAGGAGACCTGCTCTTCCCTGTCTCCTGCTTTTTTTTGCTTGTTTAATAAATATGCTCCTACTTACTTGGGTTTTTCCAAGGGCTCAGGCTCCTTTCGAGCTTTGCCTACTGGGTTCTTCTCTGCTTCTTCTGCTGTGACTAAGTGAAACTCAGCTTCCACTTTGCCCTGGATCAGAGAGACGATACGTAAGCATCCAGTCCTGGGTTATTATAATTAAATCACAGCAGGATTCATCTTGTGGAGAAATTATGAAACCAGATGAGGGTGAAGGAATTTGATTAAAGAAAATAAGATAAAGTCTTTACAGAAAAAGAGAAAGCACAAAGGAAAACTCCAGCACTGAATTCATGACTTATGCTCAGGGACCATGAGGAAAGAGAGGTAGTATGTTTTCTTCCAGATCCATAAATATTTTTTCTGCTTCCTAAGTTACAACATAATTCATCCGGGCAGACCTGTCTTCTATCTAGCACGCATCCCAGCAGAGCTCAACAGCTAAGCTGGAAGCTGTGCTGCTGGTTTGGACGAGATGCAGTCCATCACTGGGGGGAAATTCAGCAAGGTATGGTCTTCCATACTATCTCCACTATAGATTTAATGAGGCCAAAGGAAAAACAAAAAAAAAAAAAACAAAAAAAAAAAAAAAAAAGAAAATTACAGAGATTTAAAGATTCCAGCAACAATTAAGAGTAGGTAAATCAAATCAGCTTCATAAAATCTGTGGTGGATGAAAAGCAGACAAATGGCTTTTCATGTATTTCTTATTTTCCTACCCCATACCTTTGCAGATGTCAAAAACTAAAGTGTTAATTTATGGCCAGTGACTGGGATTCAGCACAGAACTGGGCTGAAAGAAGGATGCAGGTAAAAGGGATCAATGTGGAAGACAAGGGGATCAGGAGATGAAAGTGGACTGGGAGAAAGAGAATCAATTGTACAAGAGTTGAGAAAATGGAGGTAAAGAGGGCATTTGCAAGTGGAGTTGGTCCATTAAATCCATGGAAAGACAGTCACCTTCAATCTGAAGAAGGCAATGAACTTGAAGATGGCACTTTTTATTAAAGCATTCTTCTGGAAGGGACAGAAATATGAAAGAAGGGAAAGGTTTACAAAAACCTTTGGAGAGTCAATGAAAGTCTAGATAGGGAGGGATTTCCCCTAAAAAAGGGCCCAAATAGGTAGATTTGTAGAGGGCTATGCTACAGGAAGGTAGCTTCAGGGATGCCCAGGTTCAGGTCCAAGCTCCCGAAGTGCTCTGTGGCCATCTGAGCACATCAGCTGGGGCTTTCTTTCACTAGTTTACTCCACTTCATGCTCTGTTTCATGCATATGTGCCCCAAAGACTGTGTGCAGAGTTAACTATTGGGATGTACATCATGCCTAGATACATGCACTCCACCTAGGAAGCAGAAGAGCAGAGCTGTCTTTCATTTACACCGAGGATGTACTCTTACTGATGTAAGTACAAAGGAGCCTTAAAGACAGGGAGAATGGAGAAGTTGTGTTAAACACTGAGAATTTCACTGTAGCTCCAGATTATACAGAGAAAGCAATACAACATTATGAAGAGAAGCTGCAGCAGAAAGCTCCGAGATAAATGGCTACGTGCACACTGAGTGAGATTTACACCCTGCTGCAAGCCTTGCTATGCTAGAGGCTCCAGATGAATGAAAATTTGTGTGGCAGCATTTATTTTCTTAGGATGATACTTCTACCATAACAAGTCTTGTAGAGTGTGGGGAAAGCTGTCACTGTGCTTTGCATTCCTTTATACCAATTGTATCCTGCCACTAAATCAAAAAGATATTGTCTTAGTGAGCACACGTCCACAGGAAGAGGGGATTGTGCTCTTTCTACTTGAGATGTGTCACTAGCAAGGAGAATAATGGTAGACTCCAAAATCAGTTCCTTTGCCCTGGTTAATGTCAGAAATAAATAGAAAAGAAATAAACAAGCAGGTGAGATTCCTCCCAAGATTTTCTCAGCTGACATAAAGTTGGCTGGAAACACCTGATTTTCCACTCTAGCCATCCAGTGTGCTGGGAGACAAAAGTGGAAGAAAGCAAAGAAAAAGTTCAGAGTGCTCTGGTTGCCTGGGATTATCTGAACCAAGTCTATGGGGCACCACTGAAGCATTTGGAGGAGACCTATGCATTGCCATTGGTGGCTGTTCTTCAGAAGCCATATCCAAAATTAACGTCTGTCTGTCTCAGGATCTCAGCAGAGCAAATCAGCCCCAGAGAAAAGATGTTCGTCTGTAGTGAGCTGCCTACCGTGAGCTCCCCAGCCTTGGTGAAAGGCCACCAGCCTCTGACACGCTTCTGCTGAAATATGGAGATCTTGTTTTCTTCATTTGCTGTCACAGTCGTGCCTAGGTCACATCTCTTGGCTGTCTTTGCTGCTCGAGGGAACCCGTTCAGGTTCAACTCAAGAGTGCCTGGAGGGAGAAGTAATGTGGCAACACTCAGAGATCAGATATAAACACATTTATACGGCAGCTTCCAGATACATGGAGCAATGCAGCAGCTTGGGCCCAAGCTTCATAGGTGGGGATCTCTCTCTACTATAAGCCATTAATTTCTATTGCCCTGGCATTGTCTCATCTGAGTTCCTAATTATTCCCTCTCCAAGAAATTTGTAAGTTTGCAATGCGGTACTTCAGAGAAAGATAAGCAAAGGTTGGGTTTCAAACAGCTCTTTGTACATACCTCTATAAAATACAGGTCTGGCAAGATCTCAGCTGAATTTCAGACAGAACCATTGCATACTTACCCAAGAAATCATCTGAAGAGAGTCTTTCAAAGTCCCACACCTGAAGCACCAGTTCAGCGGGTATTTTGCGCTCTGTCTTTTCCAAGGAAAATATGTTTTCTCTTTTACTAACCACCATTTGTTTCTCTGCTGGGAGATAGTGGAATGGGAACACAAAGCGCCAGTTGAAGTTGCCCTCTCCTGTCAAGGAGTTGTAATGAACGTCTGTCTCCTGCTTGTCCTCTTCCAGGCCCTTTATCCACCTATGGCAAGCACATAGTGGAATACACTGCTGTCACCAGGGGAGCTGGAGTTGTGGTTGTCGTTATCTGGTTGCAGGCATGATAACTTACCAATTCGTCCCTAACCAGTACAAGATAACACACCGTTCAGGACTGCGACACGCAGTGACAGCCCTGGCTTGGGGATCTCAGCTACCTCCAAGCCATGGCACAGGCTGCAGCAGTGGCCAGTGATGATCACAATTTGAGAGTGAGAACATGGGTTTTATTTAGATCAGGCCCCAAAATACCAGTTGGCCATTTACTATTGGCCAGGACATCTGTCTTGTTTGGGACCAGCAAAGACAGCATCAGTCATTTATCCACTACTAATCACCCTGTGTTCGTGTTATGCCACACTAATAAACTCTCTGTCCATGTCTCAAGACTGATTTCAGCGCTCAGTATTAGAGTCTAAACTGTTAGCAGTTGTGGTTTGGGGTGTATAAATATATGATAAATAAATAAACCTGTGTCCCTGTTTTTTCTTGTGACCTCCTCTTGGTTTCTGCTATAGCATGCACAACATCTGATGTGCAATGCTACGTTACAAAAGGACAAAGCTTTCCTAAACATAATCTTATTTTCTGAAAAGCCCCACCAAGGTAATGATCCAGCTAGGTATGTTTCAGTTCTGAACAAGATTTATCACATCTTGAGTAAAGATAAGCATTTTTGCGCTGCATCCAAAGAGTGGCTTTTCCCCTGCAAGCCCCATCATTTCAAAAAGGAATTGGGAAAAACAGTAACAAGCCCAAGCATGGCATTGCCCCCCTGTGCAAATCCATGCCTGGTGGCAGATTCAGTGCCATGTGCACTGTCTGAACATAATGAGATTTGTGTCTTCATCATTAAGGCACAGAAGCAAGAAGTCATCCACTCCTGGCTTTCCCTGTCAGACCACTCTGGCATTGGTAGTGCTGCCCTCATGTTATCACGCAGCTCAGCACAAAGCCTGACTCCCTATTTAGTTCTTCGATTTTGTGCTCTCAGAGTTACTCTGCTACTGCTCTGAACACGTTAGTTCATTCCAAGTTGGATTTATCTGTGAGATCACCAGTGATTTCAGAGTAGCTCTCAGGGAACTGCAGGGGGAGGTTTGCTCAGCTGGTGCGTGCAGTCGCTGCACTTGCAGCACGCTGGGGGCCACACGGTTGCACGAGTGCGTGCTTCGCCTGGGCTAATATCACCTGCTCCAAAAGTGTGGGACCGCTCCTGGTGCCCCACACATCTTGGTTGGAGCTAAAACAATTTTCCCTGATAAAATGCATGTAGATATATCCTACAGAGGAGTAAAAGCTGCCACCAGACTGCCCTGTCCTTATGCTTACTTTGGATTTCTTACTATGTTCAGAACCTGCAAAGTGGAAAACATCCTCCCTTCCCTGCTCCACCAGTCCCAGTGCTCCCTGCTCCAGCTCTTTGCATTTGGGCATTGCCAATCTTGCAACAGCTTTTTAAGGAAATTAATTTTTCTATATGCCTAGCACTCTACAAATTTGGATTTTTCCAGGAATCCACAATGACACAATTCCTATTGGCATATTAATCTCACTCTCTAATGGTGGAAACACAGCAAGAAATCTAAGACTAGTCTCACACCTGAGATTTCCAATACTTCCTACCACCACTTATGCCATAATTTCACCCCATCTCTCTCTGGTACTTGTATTCAAATCCTGCTCAGAAGCAGAAAGCGCAAAGCAGTACTCCAAAACAGGCAAGGAAGTTTAACAAGTAACCTGCTACAATCTCAGGGAAGAGCTGGTTTGAGTGTCAAGCTCTCCTTTCGCGCCCTTTCTTCTCATTTTATTTATGTGATATGGTTTACTGTAACAGCTGTGAAGCTGTGACAGATGTTTTGTCTGCAGCAGGAAGGAGATGGGGAGCAGAAAGTGCTCATGTGATGTCTTTCTCAGCATGGCTATGGTCATTCACCCCCACACGTTCCCCACGTGAGGCTAGAGAATATTTCCAGTAGAAATAGCCTGGCAAACACCTGCTTTCTTGTTCCTGCTGTGGTTGTAATTACCTTTTCTCTGATTATGCCAAACCTCTTTGCATCTGTGTAAGCTTTTACAGGTCAAGTTCTGTAAGTGTTTGATCTCTGTTTGCTAAACTGGGCTTGGTTCTCTTCTTGTGCCATCTCTGCCTGAGCAGAAAGGGGGGGGGGGGGGGGGGGGGGAAGAAAGAAGCAGTATCCAATATAGATGAGTAATTGGGCAGGCATTCAGAGCAAAGTGCCAAGGTCACAGAAATAGCTTATCAGGTATTCTCACAATGTAATCTTTTTGTCTGATTTCTGAATGAAATATTGCATGTTCTTTTAAAACTAAGTCTTCAAGAACTTACCCTTTTACATAGATATCACTTGATTTTTGCCCCGTAAAGAAATTTTCATCTTCTAGAATTACATCCTCTGTATTCCAGATTATTACCCTCAGCTCATAGCTGAAAAAGAAAAGAAAGTAGGCCTGTGTACAGTCAAGCTCTGGTCAGACACTAATGTAAACCTCTATCAAATCATGCTTTTACAAAGTGAGAAATGTTGTATTTGTGCAAAACTCTTAAAATAGCATCAGCCTCTGGCCTTCTTCTGTTTACAAGAATCCAGTGATAGGTTTGGGATGGCGGCTGCTCCCAGCCCTTGAAGGATGCCGGACTACAGTGGGGTCACTGCCAGCTTCGGAGGGATGGAAAATTCCTTGCTTTTTATGTGCCTGTTCCTTCTCAATTCTTTTCACAAAAATGCTGCAGTGAAACAAGGCAAAGTTGATCTGAACATCATCAGAGCAGTCTCCAAAACAGTGAGCAGCTTGCTAATAAAAGCCAGAGCTCCCTGGGAGGTGCTTTTCAGAAGAAATGCCTAAAAACTTTGTATTTGGTGGAATCCAGTGCATTACAAGGATAGAGAAGCACTGTTTAGAGATATTTTCATTTAAACAACTGTAATCATCTTTAGAAGCAACAGTAAAAGGAATTAAAGCTTTCCCATCCCCTCTGCTCCCTGCATACAGACAGTCATGGTGGCCATCCAAAGCTCTGGACGCTTGAAATGAAATGTAGATGTTGCAGGTGACATAAAAAATGATACTCAAATCTTTAGGTACACCTTGAGTCATTGTATAAACCGCAAAATAAAAAAATCCCAAACTATACTTGAGAAGACCAACATATGATTTTTCTGATCTGACATTTGTTGTCTTGGAAATAGCCTCAATCTTAGGTGTGAAACAGTTTGCCCCAAAAGTTACCAGATTATACTAGGTCATGGAGCTCTTAAGAAGACGTTGACCATGAAAACCAAGCCTCTGCACTAGCCGAAGGAACTTTCATCTGCAATGCTCTGCCAGCTCCTTGTTCAATTAAAGATTATCAACGGGCAATGTTTCCATAAAGTGTTTGAAGTCTTATGGAGCCTGGAGCCTGTTTCGCTGCAGCGAATGTGCATTTCTCAGCAAAATGTGTCACTCATCTTTTCATGTTTACTTTCTTTCTCATCATTAATGCTTTGACAATATTTTTCCCTGCTTTTTTAGACTACAAAAGTGGCAGCAACAATTTGGTTTTGTGGCTATAATTAGTTTTAAACCATTTGGGATTGGAAAATGCTTGTTGTTAAGGAGCTTTATAGAAAGATCTGGTCTGAAGAAAGTAATTGTTACATAGACTCTTTTTTTTTGACAAATCTTGGCTTTTGTAAAAGGAAAGGAAAAGAAACAAGTTTCTATTACATTTTTTCCTGTTCAAACATAAACAATACAGGAATAGTACCTGATGCTGCTTCAGACATAAAATTCTCAGGAAAGGTCTTGCTAAAATACTGGAATAAAACTGATACAGGATGGGCTGAGAACTCTGTTGCGCATTTTTGTGTTTCATTTACAAACACTCAGTTAGCTTGAAGAACTATGTGTAGTGTTGCATATAAAGCAGCATAAGTATCTGTGTGAAATTTGAGGGAAGGTTATTCCAAATGCATCTCTTCTATCTGTTACTGCTTTATGTGTTTCTTGATCTTAGCTTTGAACAAAGTGCTGGAAATACCATAGGTGTAATACTATTGCATCAGATTAAAGATCTCAACCAGGGAAGAGTAAGTTATCTAGCTGAAAGAGGCAGTGAAACCAGAATTACTTCTTTCAGCTCAACAAGTGGATGATAACATCAGAATTATTAAGGGACTAGCCTCTAGCCACCTGTAATCTCTATGTGAAAGAGGGATATCTTTCTGCAAGAGGTGTGTGATAGCCCTTGGTGAAAAAAAATCACCAAGAGTTCTTTGAGTTTTTTGATGTAGGAGACGAAACTAGATGCTGTTCTTCGACTTGAAGTCATGTGAGCCTTAGAAAACTTTTCTCAGGATCACCAAAGCTTTTTGTGATAGTTCTTTTTATGGTTCTTTGCAGAAACTTAAGATTCAGTCTTTGAAGACTTATGCCACTGTGCTGAGAGGAAAGCGTAGAGTATTACCCTTTGGGTTTTCTTGGTGAAATGTCCACTGGGGGTCCTGGCAGAGGCATATCTTTAGGAAACATGTCAACCCACATCTGTACACGACCCTTGAAAACAGAGAAATAAACATATCTGTAACCTTATTTTAGAGAGACTTTAAAAGGTTTTAAATGTAGTTCTGACATCCCAAACCACCACTTCCTCTATAAGCACCAACCAGCTCACTATCCTGTAACTATGTTTTCATCTATAAACTTACTATACAATGTAAGGTTTTTTCACACACTTATTTTATCAATCTCTCAGGAATTTGGTGAAGTTGGAATTGAGCTCAAATATTGGCAACTTCAAGGTAAAATCCATATAAAAACCAAAGTCCAAATAAAAGCGGAGTTTGTGTTAACTTAATAAACCAAATCATTTAAAAGAATGAAAATATGCGGTCATACCTTGTGTGACTACTGTGTATTTAGGTAACTGGCTGTATACATACATGTGTAACAATTTCCAGGTTGATACGGTACAAAGTCTCATGTATGGTACAAGATTTGGATGCTGTCTCGGTAAGTTGGCAGGTACAAAGAGAAACCACAGTAACTGGAGGAAAGGAAAACTGTTCCTGGGTCTACCAGCACCACCATCTCTGGGCTGCTCTACCTGTTCCATGCCTGGCTTATCCTTATGGTAGAGAGGTCGAGTCTCAATGTGCTCCGGGACCAGTTTGTATCCAGCTCCAGGGATTTCTTCCCAAGCACGTAAAACCTTTAAGGAGAGATGTTCATACGATTCAACTGGCTCCTCTATAGGAAGAGTAAAACAAAAAGAACAAAGAGAGATAATTATAATGTTGAACCCCTTGGTAATATGTTCCATTGATTATTAAAGATTATTAAAAATCTGCTTGAGTTAAAAGGAAGGTACCCCTTGGTAATATGTTCCATTGATTATTAAAGGTGGTAATTCAAAATCTGCTTGAGTTAAAAGGAAGGGTTTATGTATCCCAGCTAAGTAAAGAATGGTCTTGAAATGCATTTAATTCTTGTAAATACTGGTACCCACCAGGGCAACTAGAAGATTGGCACTTGGGCAGTAATTTATCTATAAAATACAGAAAATCATTTCATTATTACAGCAACAGTTTCTAATGGGAAGAGGGAAGAAACCTGTGAGCTACTCTTTTTACAGAAAATTGCAAGTGTGAGGCTTTTTATGGTTCATGAAACACAAGGACACTTTCATTTTGATGGAGCTGACAGTAAATAGGCACTAGGAGTTATATCTACACCTCATTTTGCCTTGTGATGACCACAGCAAAGACTCCCTTGGAGAACCGAATCACACTTTGGAGGAAGAGGGCTGAAGCCTATAGACAAGAACATGTCACCTCCTGACGAGCTCAGCTTGGCCACTGGAGGAAGGGACACCCCAGAGAATGGCACCTGAGGGAAGGACCAATGCTAATATTGAAGGTAGGGTGGATATTGGAAAGCAGAGAAAGCCTTTTGAGCTCTTGAGCTTCTCTTTCCTCCTTTTCTGTGTGGGCTCCACACAAAAGGAACCCAGGTTTTTGAAGAAGGATGTCTCCTAGATTAAGAGAGGGGTACCCAAGTGCAAAGAACGTTAAGACTTCTTTCTGTCAGCAAATAGTTATCAATTTTCCTGCAGTGTTGCTATCTCTGAGTTGCTGGTAGGAGACAAAAGGTTTGTTTGGGGTTTAAACAGTAGGTACTAACCCCTTCCTAATGGCTCAGAGAGGGAGGGAGGATGACCCTGTGGTGATGAGTCCTAGTTCCCTCTTGTGCACTGACAAGGTTTTTGAGATGTGATGTATTTAATCTAATTTTAGCCAAGTAAAAGCAAGATCTTTAGCCTGAGCTACTCAGTCAGGCAGCCTCAATAGCAAGGACAGATTGTCCCATGATAACCCATACCCTCTCTCAGGCACCTTTCTAAAGATTGTTTTCACCCTCTAAAGATTGTTTTCACCCTCTGAAAATGCTTATTTCTTCCCATTGGCTACAGGTAGTCCTAGACTACCTGGTAGTAGTGGTCAGGCAGTTGGACTAGAAGTTTGTTGTAGGTCCCTTCCAACTGAACTATTCTATTCTATTCTATTCTATTCTATTCTATTCTATTCTATGCTATGCTATGCTATTCTATTCTATTCTAACTTCTGTGCTTCTAGAGCAAACTTAAATTATTCTTTCCCTTGAAGTTCAAAGCTGGATGTAAGGCCCACAAGTATAATTTTCTCCACCTGTAAAGTGGAAATGGTATTGCTCCCCCTTTTGGTACTCCTCTATAGCTCAAATCTGTGGTCTTTGTTATTTTTATAGATGGTCAGCACAGGAACCCAGCAGGAAATAAGGACCCAGATGTACTTGTCAGAACAGCAGTCTGGACAAGAGTCATGCAGAAGACAGTGTGCTGTGAACTATTTCTTTATAATATGTTGAAAAGCTTGTGCACATAAGTACTTTGGATTTTGCCATCTGGTTCTGTATTTCCTTGCTTTTGGTTTCCATCATCTTGTCTGACGTTGGTTTGTCTGAAGCTCATTTTAGTGAACCAGAGTTTTGATTGAGAGATCCTGTTGCTGGCAGTCTCACTCAGGCATCTGCCAGTGAGGAAAACAAACAACAATACCCAAGTCATAAATCTCTCTCAGGCTAAGAAACCAAAAATGGATCAACTCTTCTCCCTTGAACAGTGCTACCTGAGCAGCCTTCCAGTCAAGGTGCAAGCTGTATTTTGTAGCTTCGAAGGAGAACTTGCTCAAAGATGAATGTCTGTCTCCAAGACCAGCTCCTTTTGTTCCCTCTTGAAAGTCTCCATCCTCACACCTCTTTTCCTTACCCTGGGCATCCCATCCTTGGGATCAGGCAGGAACTAGTCCAAAGTATCCCCCAACACCTACCATGGGGATGTCAGGACATCAGCAATAACTGTCTCACCCTGGAGATTCTCTGCAATTAAGCTATAGCAATAGCTAATATAGACACAGCCTTCATCCCCACAGTTATATGAGTGTTTCAAAGCAGAGATAGGTTCCAGTAATCTGACTTTAGAGTGCACAGCACAATGGAGCCCCAGCTACACCTTGGGCAGGCTCTTGGTACTGCTACAATGCAGTTGAAAAATTATTAACTACTTCATTACCGTTCTCATCTTCTGTGAAGACTGTCTGTCCCTTGAAGACTTTTGTTCCTACTTGTATCTCCCCTGGCCGCATGAAGGGTCCATTTATCTTGTAGTCCTTACACAGCTTAGTGAGGATCTCGCTTGGCTTGGTTGCATCTCGCCATGCATTGTACCCTTCTCTGCAAGGAGGGAACAGATACTGAAGACAAATGGGTGAGGTTTTCCTTCAACAAAGCATACTGGCAAATCAGGGCTTCCCATGCAGAGATTTGCTTTGCTGTCAGTGGCCCTGACATCTGCTCAGCCAAACTTCTGCTTACCCACCTGTCCCAGGTTAGTGCCCCACCCCAGGGCAATGGAGGTATTTTAGTTTGACTTTCTCTGCATTAATTAATCTTTGTGAAAAATGTCCTTGAGGGTGCAGCCATAGGACAGAGACCAGGAGCTCAACGTCCCCGCCTTGTGACTCGCCTCTATGTTAGAGAGGCCATGGCAGTGGCCCTGCTCTGCTCCCGCTCCCCCCAACGCCACACTAGTCCCACCAGCCTTGCTGCAATCGCTCTGGTTGCAGCTGAATAATGGAGAGCAGAGTAGAACCCTGTCATAACTTCTCTGACAGATTTTCTTCTTCCATTTGCCCTTTATGCCTGGCCAAAAGCAGTTTATCAAGCAGGTATGTTATACACAGGCTGTTTACTCTCTGAAATACTTGAAAAAACAGGGGTTTTAATTTTAAAATATCCACTTCCTACTGAGGCTGGCAGCGAGCCAAAGCCACTGCTAATATCTCTGGTGAATTTTAATTAAAATATCTCCTGTGACACTTCTGTGCTGGAGAAAGCATAATATTTAGCCATATCTGGAATTTATCCTTCAAGTCAAGTCATTCACTGTATGCTCTGTTGCTGTCTGCAGAGGTACTTACATTTCATATTGACTTTGTAACCCACAGGTAGCTCGATGCCTGCTGTAGAAACGATTTTCCAAATCAATTTTAGTCTCTCCAATGAGATCATCTGTTCCCACGAAGTCATGGTCGTAGATCAGGACTGTGAGCAATGAATCCTTGGGGAACGTAGCTTGGATTTCAAATGATCTACAGCAAAAATTGAGATCTATGTGTAGGCAAATCAGTTTTGGACCCTAAAAGACTAAGCTAATGAACAGAGTGCAAACAATGTGTGGACAGTGACGCTTCTAATAAGCAGTGGGGTTTCTTTGGTAGTGTTTTATGTTTCAATGAAATATCTGAATATACTGGAAACCCACAGTGCAAAAATATTATCTTCCTCCTGTTTCCCTACCACCCCCTGTACATTTCTAAGATTGTTCCTACCTACAGGAGACAGAGCAATGGGATGGAGCTGGTCAGCTGCAGTGATTTATCCTGAATCCAATAGAGGTGGAAGTATGGAAATTACAAGGGTAGTGAAACTGTATGTAAGAGTTCTCACATGCTTATCAGAACCCCCAAAAGAGACATCTGAGTCTTTTCTGTTTTCTCCCAAAAGCTCCAGGTTAAATATTGAATATAGGAATCTGGGGGCACCCGACAAAATTATCAGGTAGAAGCTTTAAACAAGTCTCAAAAAAGCAAAAATCAGAACTCCCTTTTCACTCAGTGCATTTTTCAGGAATTGTTGTTGAGATGTTTAGGGAAGCTGAAAATACAAAAGTGATTTTTAAAGGGATTTGACAAATTAGTGGAAGACAGGACATCCTCATCAGCACAACACTAGCTCAAGATTTCTCCAACGCACAGGTAAAACTGAGGTTTGTCTCCTGAAGGATGAGTTTTGTCCTTTTTCTCATAATGGCCAGTCAATTTTGTAGCAACAGCAGAGCAGTTTTGGGAGGAGAGAGAGGTTTGGGAATGGTCTGGGATTGCTGGAGGTTGGTAGTGCCATGCTGACCAGGGCTTCTAGGGTGACAAGAGGTGGTTACCATGACTGAAGCTACAGCTCTGAAGGAGTTGCTGGTCCAGTCCACCCTCGTGTTGCCACTGGCAGCAGCAGCAAGGACTATCCAAATGAACAGCCCATCCCTAACCTTGTCTAATACAAACAGAGTGGCCATTTGCCATTCCATCTATATGCATTTATAATGGCTGTGATTTTCAGTTTATAATGATGATGGTTTATTTGCAACCTCCTCTAAGCAAGAACTTAAATCACAGGCACCAAGATGGCATGCTATGGAGGGACCACTCTGTTCTTGTCTTTTCTCCTTACACTTTTTTCTTTAAGTCCCTGCTTTTGCAGCCAGGACCCTGGCCTAGGAGGCTTTCAGTCCAACATAGTATAGTTTCTCTGTCTTAATTTTCTTACAGAATAATTCTATCCCAATTCAAAACATTTTCAACCCTCTTAAAACAGGGAAACTTACTGGGAAAAATCACAGCTCTTAGCATTAACAATATAAATAAGTATAAGGCATTGATAATACGAAGTTGATGTTTACTGACAGCTTTCCCCTGGCTGTGTGGGTTCAAAAAACTAGGTTTTTTGGTCCTAGTCCTAAAATTATTACATTTATTTGGCACTCTGCTCAACCTGAAATAGCAACAAGGGTTGTGAAATCACTCTTTACTGTGCTGATATTTATTTCCCTTTAAAGTTAACAATTGCATTAATTTGCACAGACAAGATCATTTGTTGCCTCATTTCCTTTCATGCACTATTTTGCAAAACCTCTCACAGATTGCGATGTGTTTTGACTGGTATGAAAATGAAATAATTTATAATCATACAGGATGACACCAATTCTCAACATTTTAACCAGTAGAATTACAAAACATCCAAACAGGCAGAAATCAGCATATAACCAACACTTTGTAATAGTAACAGCAAGAGTGGTGGCAAGTGATAAAGACAAAATCACCCCCAAACAAGAAAATAAGCCATCACTGACCTTCCAAATACTGGGTTTAGCTGCTTGGGAATGTAGTTTTCCCTGTCTTTAATTTCTGTGTTGCCCAGTCTCAGAACAATGTAGGGATCTGACTTGCCATCTGGATCAGCTGGGCTGAGGTTAAACGCCTGTTAGGAAGAAAGACCGTGTCCTCAAGAAGCTTGCTTAAATGCAGCATGGTCACGACACAGAACTGTGGGTTTCCTACCCAGTCCTGAGTGCTCTGGACATGCAGAGGTTTGCTTGCCTCATGTAAAATCAAATTTGGCATTTAGCTTTGCAGGCTACTGGCAAAAGATGATCTGGAGAAGAAGAGAGTTTGCAAAGGTGGAACAGATGTAAGTGCTGTCCCATCACTAAGATGGAAAAAGATGAGGAGAGGTGATGCTGAGGAAGAAGGTGGCTGCAAAAGTGCATGTAGGATTCAGGAGAGGTTTCCCCAAAATATTTGTTCAGAATCCTGAACAGTGCAAAACAAGGCTGTATTTACTAGGTGGCTTGGAAGTCATTATATTCAGGAAATAAAGTGACCTCTTCCTATTCTTCTCTTCTGTTTTGTTTGCCATTGTCTCTTTGCATGCCATTCCTCCCCTCTTAGATCACCTGCAACTCTCATTTCTCTGAGATACCAGCTCCTTCTACCCCTTTCACTTCTCACATCGCGCTCCCTCATCATCTTGTCCTCTATATTTCTACCTCTTTCTTCACCCGTAACTTATTCACAACATCTGCCACTTTGATTACATGCAATTCATAGCAGTCAAAAAATATGCTCCCATTTCCCCCTTACTGAGAAGGCTTTGTTTAAAAGTTTGTCATTTTGAAATAGAATCATAGAAAATAACTCTACTCATAGAAATAACTCTACTGATTAAAATTGGCTGTATTTGCATAATGTGGCTGGAACAGGTTGTCCATAACACATTAGTTATGTCTCTAGCCCTTTCAGTTTGAACAAGTAAAGTGATTCTCCAGTCTTGTGATTTATCAGGAGGAATATGCAATGTTTTCTACTCTGAACACCCATTTCTACAACACAAACCATTGTCTGAAATATGACCGAAAAAAGATTCTACCACATGGCTGAGGATTTTCAAAAGCTTCACCACAAAGATACTGGAAGTAAACTGAGTTGAAGAGAAACGTCCAAGTTATTTCAAGGTTAAAAGAATATCTGTCTACTTACTGCCACAATATAAACCCTGATGAGGACTTTGACGGAGTGGTTTGGTGGTATCCCTTGCAGGATGCGGGGCTGCCCTCCGTCCAGCAAGCTGCCATCCTCAGGACTTGGGTATATGCAGAAGGAGCCCTGGTAATACACTATCTTTTATCTCCCATGAAAACAGATCAAGTGCAATACAAAAACAACCCTTCAAATGCAAATGAAACATCACGCATGCAGCCTGTGCTGCAGCACATACACATACAAAAGACATTTTGTGGTACCACTCAAAGGGAACATGGGCTTCAGTGCACTAAACATCATCTTTTAAAATGTCTTTGCTCTATAACATGGTATTGTCATCACATTTAGATGATTGCAAGAATTGCTTGCATGCTCTTAGCTATCTCTGTTATTATTTAAAGGACTAACACCTGCAGGTGTTCTAAATCTAGTTTTCCTTGTATTGATATTCTAAAAATAATATTTTGCCCTTAACTGTATATTTTCAAATTGATAATTCCACTGAGTTAGTTTCACAACAGTGTGACTGGAATCCAACTGCATTTTTGCAGCCACTACTCAACTTATATAAATCAATATTGACTTATGCTGCTGAGTAGCTCATACTGCCTGAAAGCAACCAGCAAGTCATTTGAACAGAAATTTGCATTGCAAACTAATTGAGGTATCAATGAGTTTAATCAGTTCCTCTAAGCTACAAAGTGCTTGAAATCTTACTAACATTATTCATGCTTTGAACTACGTTTCCAGATTGCCTAATGGTGCCTTGGATCAGGCTGTGCAATTGTTTCCAACTGGAGTAGCTGTGAGGGCCTCCATTTAAATGACTGGAAATTACATATAAGCTGCTGTAACTGATAGTGCCATAATAAAGTTGCATTAGCAGAATCTGCACTACATAATATAACTCTTCTTCCCCTTCTGTGATTTGAAAGTTTTTTGTAATTTCTTGTTTCAAAACAACAGAGAACACCTGGTGCTGGATGCTGCTTTCATCTATCAGATAATGGGAAAGGAAAAATACGACTCTAGATGCAGTAAAAGAGATAACTCTATTTAAAACAGACTGTCAATGTCTTTTTCTTTCATCTTCTGTATACCTGAAATATGCATGAAAACATAAAGTCTCTAAATTACTACCCATTTAATCAACATTAAATCTCACCTTAAATTTTCCTATTATTCTGTCTTCAGAGTCAGCATGAACTTCGTCATTAGATTTTCCTCTTAAGAGCTGGAAAGTTTTCACCCAGTCCTCAAAGTTATTAAATTCACTCTCCAAGTCTCCTTCATAAATCTTTGAAAATAAGAGAATGCTTATATTTTGTGGTGCAGTGAATATATTTATAGTAACTTTCTTATTACAGGAAGACTAGAAATCCATTTTGACTCAAAATACAGATTTTGATAAAACCAAGGCTTTGCAGAAGTCCTTGAGGAAAAAAAAGTTAATCCCCCACTTAAAACAGGAGCAGTTTTGTCCTTAACCAAAGTCCTTCCCAACTATTAGAATAGCACGTTAATGCAGCAGGTAGAAGTGGCTCTAGAAGGGCTGGGATGAACATCTATAAGCACAGTGTGGATGCGCTGCTCTTTGCTTCTGTTTCCTCTCTGCGATGCGCCTGCGATGTACTGACCCATTCTGTTACGTTAATGTGTCAGAACACGAGAGCAAAGCAGACACTGATAAAGTGCTGTGGGGTCAGAGCTTTAGGATAGGTAAAAAGACCAAATCATTTTTAAAAGGACATTTTTTTCTTTCAACACTCTTCCCCTGTAATTTATGAAGTGTTATTCAGTGTGAAATAGAAGGGCCCAGACTAGTGCCATCTCTAAAAAAAAATGGAAACAGCAATTTCAAAATCCCAGTCATTTTACATGACGCATATAGTTTTCTTTGAATTCCTTCTGTCATTACCCAACTGAATCTAATGCGAGCTGAATATTACCTCCCCATCAGGGAGGCTGCACTAGCAATTGTAGCAATGCCTTACATACTCTTTTTTAAGTCATTCTTAATAGGCTGTAATATTTCCAACATTAAATTTGTTTTACAGGTGAACAACAAAACTGAATTTTCACTTCAGTCTCTCTGGGTGTGCCTATACTGGTAAATTGAAGGTCTAAGGCCAAGTGGGCCACATCCACCCTATGAGACCCCATTTTCCTCTGGGCCCCATGTGCTGATGTGCATTGCCACTATCATTTTGTACGTTTTATTCATTTCAGAGTGTCTGACATAAATGCTTGGGGAAACAGTGAATAACAGCCTTATCCTTCAAGCCTTCTCTCCTACCTGCAGTATTGCTAGGTCTGGAGTTTCTTTCTCATTCCTTTTCAATGTCTTATCCTTCTTCTTTTTGTCTGGATCCTCTTCTATGATAAGTGCAATCTGATCAGAAGTCTGTTTATCTGCAGAGATTTCATGACATCATGTAGGTTTTTAGTGAGCAAAGCACATCAAATGCTTCAGATAAGGATGCAAAATAAATTTTGAAGATTCCCCCTTCACTCCTCCGTGCATTCTTCTGCTGCCATGCACAGGGTCGTCTCTTTTCCCACCACTCCTCCCAAGCAGAGAGGTGGTGTTTTATCCTCTCTGAGGCTTCATGATGAGCTTGGTGGACCAAGTGTGATGATGTCCAGTACCACTCCTTCCCTTGCTGGCCATCTCCCAGAAGACAATTTTCCTTCCTCTCTGACTCCTTCCAGACACAAACTAACAGATCTTAGCAGCTTTCAGATAAAATTTAAGGCTTATATAAAACTGGAAGTCACTATTTAGGCTGACTAGTGCTTCAGATATCAGGTGATTGAAGTCCTCCTCTGCATAAAGGCATCACAAAATAGAGCGTATCTCACCTTGGGAAAGCTCAGAACTATGAGAAATGGGAGGAGGTATCTGACCAGCCTCAAGCCAGACTCTGAACACTGAGAGGGGACTTCCAAACAAAGAGAGGGACAGCCCTCAAAAATGGCACTAAGATGGTTCATTTCTCTGGCTGAAATCTGGATTTTGAGTTCACTTTACTTTCCTTTGTTGAGTAGTTCATGTGTGTTTGATACCACTAAATATTTAAAAAAAAAATAAATGTATCTATTACATCAGTGCTGTCCTGTATGTATAATGTTTATCATCATAGGTGAAAATATGTAAGAAAAGCTACCAGAAGAGAATTTACAAGATCTGAAGTCATCAGTCAAAACCAATATGCCACCATTGCCTGAATAGCATGTGGGTGGGTGCCACAATGTCAAGTAAATTCCAAATAGTAAGCGAACATCACACCTTTGTAGAACATTTTCTATCTAAATATTTCCTCCATGTGAACAAGTGAGTTTCACTTAGAAACTGATCTCTGCCTCATCTCTCAGCAGGCCTGATGATCACTGAAACACCGTCAGCTGCTATTTCCAGAATGATACCATCTAACATTTAGGTCGTGTCTTCCATCCAGAGCAATATCCACACCTTCTTTAAAATAGAAATCACCTCAATCACTGGTGAAAAGCAGTCAGCTCTGGCATGGGAAGATGCTATAGTTCAATTCTGAATAGAGCTTTGTGTAAACTTTTGTTCTATTTCCCAGTCTGCTCAAGCAGTCACATTTGTCCAAACCAAATTTTTTTTCTAGAGTTCGGTTTGATTGTAGGAGGACCTGTTAAGCTATGGAGTATGCATGTATGGAGACATATATACATACAAACACACAGAGCCTATTTCTTGCCAATTCTTTTAGGTTCTTGTGCAAAAAGGTTTCTGCTAAACCTGAGCTAGACACAAAGGTTTTCAGCTGTGGAAGTAACACACATGACTACGGAGTCTCCTAGCAGAAGCTGCTCTTACATCATTGACCCTGAATTGGATTCAAAATTGAGAGTGGCTTCTTTTTCTGATCCTGTTACAAATGCTACCTGGGATTAGGATAATCTCCACCTTCTATCACTTAGGACTTTGACTTTGCAAATCTTTGTGCATGAGATTGGAATGACAGGAAACTCATCTTAACCCAACACTGCCTGTGAAGTTTTAACCTACCCACCATCAGGTCAGAGGAAAGAACTCAGCATACCAGCAGTACTGCATTACCAGGCATTAATTGTTGATGGTAAAATAGTAGAGAAACAAAGTATTAGCAGTACAAAATAATAGAAAAATGCAAGTAATTTACTTACTGTCTTCAGGTTTTCCCTCACTGGAAAAAATTCCTTTTGCCTTTCAAAAGAAAAAGAAGATGGACAAACTCCTCATTATGAATGTAATACTGAAAAGGAATCATTCAGCAGTAAACTGCTCATCCATGAGAGTTTTGGGCATGCTGGGTGACTTACCTTTTGCATTTTGAGCACAGAAGCATAGTATTTTGACCACCAGTCAATAACATTTTCAGCTGATTCATCTGCAATCGTTCTTTTTCTCCTCTTTGTTGACTGACGAGTGGATTTTTTGGTATCCTACCAAAGCATGGGGAAAACACTGTTGAACTCTAGACCTAATTAAAAGTAATCACCTGACTCATAGCATCAAACATGAACAGATGTATATGAAGAAAATGTCAATCTCCAAGAGCTAAATAAAATTCAAGATGAATTTATGTCTCTGTCTTCCATTCCAAGACACTTCATCATGATCAGCATATCATTAAAGCTATCTCTGTATTACGTACTGATGATGCCAAAACTTTGAACATTTGAGAGATTGCCACAGGAGAAACCCAGGCAACAAGCTACATAGAGAAATAGGTATTCTACGTAAAGAAGTAGATAATGATGTTTTAAGGGATCTAAACATTCATGTACAAATCAGTTTCTTCCACTTAGGTCTGCAAGAGTTTTAAGAACTCCCATAGCCTTTTGCCTTTATTGCCTTTTGGAAAGAAAAAGAGTCCCAATAGTTGCTGCAATTCAGCTGTTCTCTTCCTACAAAAAAGCTAAAATTGGATCCTGAAGACCACCTGCTCATGCGGCAAATCTTACTAACTTCATTCTTGCTTAAAGATTGGCCCTCATTAAATAGAGCGTTTCATCCTACACCCTTACAGAGAGTTGCCAGCTTGGCTGGGGAGACGGAAGCAAAGATAGATAATTGGGAATGATAGATAGATAGATAAGTGGGAATGGTAATCAATATGACACAGATGGTTAAACTACAGGGTTGCCTCTAGGACTCCTCTCTTACTATACTTTGTTGTTGTACATTAAAATTATTCTGTACCAGATGAAAGACGCAAACCGGTCTGTACATCTAGGGAACAAGACATCCCTGCAGTTTCTTTGACCTCCTAATTATGAAGGATTATGAAAACATCTGACCACTGAAACATCAAAGGTTAAAGAGACATAGGAAACATGCTTTATGTAGCTGCAGAAACAGCTTCTGAAGTGAAACTCAGTCCTGCATCTCTTATTTTATTGTTGTTAATAAAGGAGTGATTGTGATGGGAGAAACTACAGAGAAAGGAGGAGTGTGTGCACCTGAACAAAAAATAATCTACAGCACAGTAAACACCATGCTGACCACAATTGCCTTGTTTTCCTGTACTTTTCTATCTGCTTTTACCCACAGGCTGACACCAGTTTTATGCTTTGACTGTAAGATCTTTTGGAAACAGACTTTCTGCTCCACGTTTGTACAGCATCTAACACAAGGGGGCTTTCATCCCTGCCTAAACACCATGGACACAGAAACAGTAATTCACAGTGAGAGTCTGGCAATTAAGTGGATCATTCAAGGCCAGAAAAACCAAAAACCCTGCTACTCCAGTAGCACTTGCCTATGGGATGAACTTCCAGCACAAAAGGAAAGAAAGGCAGTATGTATTAAAGCAATGAAATGACATGGGGTCAGAGCAGCATTGCTAAGTAGTTCTCTCAAGGGTCGACAAGATAGTGTGGGTGTTAACATCAGTACCCACCAGAATCTCTAATCCTGAGTTAAATTACCCTTCTATAAGGAAGGGCTAAAGTCTACAAGACTGCAACAGAAAGCTAGCTAGCAGCTTCAGCTATACCCACCTTCTGTTTTCTCTATTTCAGAAAGTGTTGTGAGATATGGGTCTGGCTCTAACACTGTACATTTACCCTGCTCCACATCGGCGTAGATGTGATCAGCTAAAAATTGCTCCTCTCGGGATAACTCAGCAGGCTGGGATGACTCAGATGAAGCTGAAATTGAAACTTGGAAAGTTAGGCAAGATTTTGCTAGAAATGCATGATATCATTAAGGGTTTGGCCCTACACTCAACACAGTAAAGCATATCTTCCAAGTATGTGCCTAGGGTTAAACCTCTGAGCAAGTCCTTTGTCTTTTTATTTGGAGTCAGGACTGGACATTTACCTTTCTCAATTTCTACAATGTCTAGTCTGTTTGGTGTAGCTTGAGGACCCAGCTGGGTCTTACATAGGAATTGCTTAAGGCAATTGATGGTGTGTGTTCCAACAAGAGTACTCCTCCCAAAAGCTCTCCAGTCGACCACGCAGATGCTTAGTGGCGGATGCAAGAGTTCATTTTCAGGCAGCTCCTAGTGGAGAAGGACAGGCGGCAGCATGAGAATTACTGGAGAATACAGAACACAAAAAGAATATTTGCCATGCACAGTAATGAGACTGTTACTCTCCCTTCTTCTCCCCATACTCAAAAGCAAAACGCATAGGCAATATAACTCTGTCCACAGTTTTCTGCAAAGTCTGGAGAAAGCCATATTCATAAGGATATACAGTAGACCATATGGACTGTGCTACTGAGTTGAGTCCCATGCTGTCATATACAAACATTTCTGGTCAGAATAAATCGGGAGAATCAGGGACGTTCAGAAGGAACGAATGCTATGTTGGAAGCTGTGAGCCTTAATGCCTCTGCTGTTTTGTTGAAGGCTATTAACCCTACCTGCCTCAGTTTGCCCAACCGTGAGATGTGGACACTGGGTGGTTACATGCTTTATAGGATTAATTACAAAAGGGAGAACAGCTCTTTGGACATGTCACATACAAGGGAAGATAAAAATACTGTAGCAATTGTACTCTAGTACCCACGTTAATGTAATGACATCCTTTTGTCTTATAAATAAACTTCTCTCTTGATGCTAGCAACTAGAGCAAACTGAACAGAGTATTTTTTTCTGATTCTGACCTTTGTCCACTGAAAGCACCAGCTCTTATAATGCAGCCAACAGGCAATAATTAAATTTCCAGTCCGTAACAGCAAGTGTTACAATACAAAAAAGTCCAGAGCTCATGAGCCAGAAATGATCAATCCCCTTAACAGCCCAGTAACACAGGAAGGAAAATTAAAACTGAAAGAAAATAAAGGAAACTGAGCACTACCCTGCAAAAAAGGAAAGGAGCAGGGAAAAGTACTAAAAATATCCCTGTTATCTGCCAACAAATTCCAACCTATCAGTAAAAATCTGACTACAACATATTCCCTTGCCTACTTGGGACATAACATGAGGAACATCATCTTCTTTTAACATACATTTGTAGCAAAAGTCTTTTAAAGCATTTTCAAATCAGTAGCTTTTGCATAAGAACTGATGCCCTTTATATTTAATCAAGACACAGAGGAAATTATTTGACAAGAAAGGAAGGAAATTAGTAATTAACACCTTGCCTAACCAGAGAACAGACAGGCAAGGAGCAGCATGCTGTACGCACCACTTCAAACCAGTCTGCAAGGCCGCTGAAATTGGGATTTTTCTTGTAGCTCTGGATGACAGAGGATTTCAGTCCTTTTCCCGCACATTCAATGAGAACCTGGGGGCGATCTACAGAGAGGAGCTGGACTTTCTTCAGCTCTCGAACACCCCAGAACAGGACCTGTGGTGGGCAGAGAGAACTGTCGGTAGCCTGCAGAGACCCCTCAGTCTGGGGGAAGCCACTGCTGGGATTCCATCACCCTGTATCCCTTTGGGAATGCAGGACTACCAGAAAAAAAACCCAAAAAACTTAAATCTGATATCCAATAACGGTCAGGATTATGGTGGAAGTTAAAACAATTAATAACATCCAACTGTTATCGAGAAGTTATTGCCAACAGCAAGCCATAATAATCACATCTGCAGAAGTCATATTTTCAGCAGGGCAAGGGGACTATTCATCCGAGCAGCAAGGGTTCGGTTTATTTAAAGTGTCAGAGCTGTTGAAGGAGCAAACAAATCCCGTACAAGCAGAGGTGATTAACAGAGCTTTGCCAGCTGAACTAGCCTTCAGGTCTGCAATGGATGGCAGGAGGTCTCCAAGCAGCTTTCCTTCAAAGGGCCGTGCTCCTAGTCTGGAGGACAAGGAGACTGGGTCTGTAAAATAGGGGTCTGCAGAGAAAATGGGACTTTATACAGCCCATACCCGGGATTTGGGGCAGCGACAGATGGTTACGTTACTGCTGGTGAGAGAAGTCGTGAGTCTCATGAACCTGAAATGAAGCCTGCAACCAAAAGAGAGCACTGGGGGCTCTATGGACAACTGGAACGCTGGCAGGATTGAGGATCTGTGTGAGTCAGGGAGTGCCAAGGGGCATGGGAGAGGACCAGTGAGATCCCACTCTGTTGCTGGAGATTCCTGGCTAAAATTGTGGCACACTTCTGTAGTTACAATGGCTCCATGGCCTTTTCCACCAGCGTGTGATACAGTTTATAATACCTTAACAAAACCAGTTGTGTTCTATTCATTCTGTGTTATTTCCTTGCTGGATACCCTCCAGAGTTCATATTTCACTGTATATACATGCACTTTAACTATAAACCTGCTCTCATAGCAATTTAACTACCTGGATCTAGATGCAATTTCCTTGATTTTAAGGTGCCCAAGGTATCAGACTGAGGAGTGGAGTTGTCCTGGGCTCCCTCCAGAACCAAAGAAGACAGAGATTCACTCCAAACCATAATTTATTCTCTTTAAGATCTCTGGAAGGGTGGCTGCTCTGCTTAGCTGTCCAAACAAGAAGCCTACAGTGAGGATGCTTCTAAGCTGGGTGCCTTAGAGCTAGTTGGGATGAATGTCACGGCAGTGTGACATAGAAAATGTGCAGGCAGCACAAAGCAATCACACTGCCGGGGCAGTGGGAAGGCCTTCATGGCACAATACTTAGAGGAACATCTAAGTTTAAGGATTTAAGCTGTCCCTCTAGCGTCAGCAGAGTAGTTCATGGGCTTATTTACCTTGCAGGGTTTGGTGGAAAAAAAATACTGCTAACAAATTTCTTTCCTATGTACAGAGAACAGAAGTTTAGCTAAGTGATACAGCAGAGCTAACAACTCTTCTCTTTCCAGCAGCCCAATTGCTTGGTCTTTGAAGGCAAACCTGGAACTGCTTCTGGGCTCCCAAACAAGTATTTCTGGGGACATGCCACCAGGTTATGCATGCAGGGTCTGACCTGGCACAGCAAAACGGGCAAATAAGCAGCTGGTGTGAAGGCTGCAGGATGAGTGAGAGGGAGTGGTGAGGCTGGGCAGCATCCAGGCGTTACGCTGACATGAAAAGCTGCTACATTTCCCTGCTTTCTAACATAAGGGGACTTTGGGTCCAAATGGGAGCTGGCTGCTCTCAGGTGCAATAGAAGATGGGAGAGAAGGTGCAAAGATTTATATGCAGGCAAGTCACATTGCTTGGCTAAAGTTTGGGACCAGGAGAAACCTGGGAGATGACTGATGTAGAACCTGACCACAGTGAGGTCAGGTGCAAGGGGAAGCTCTCCATCTCCTGCAGACACTCCCCTGGGCTGCACAGAGCGCAGGTCCATCACCCATGCTCTGCCACAGGAGCAGGTCAGGACTGAGACGTAGCCTTTTGCTGTCCTCAGGTGGAAGCACTGCCTCACATGCCCAGCCTCTGAGACTCAATTTGGTCTGACTTACCACATATGTTTTGGTGTCCGTATGTTATTTTTACCAGATTCCTATTGATCAGGATTTTAAAATCATCATCCTTTACTGTTATGGCTCGGTAAGACAATAAAAGGTGATGAGATCTGGAAATGGAAATATTCTAAGTAACTCACCTCCACTCTGTACTTGCTTAAAACAGGTCGGATGTTAGATGGGACTGGGTAAATCTGGCCAACATCTGGAGGATCCAGTGGGGGAAGTCTGTCTGGATCTGACTCAGGGATCTGAAAAATTAAGCAGTCATAACTTAGGCTGTTTTTTTGAAGAACAAAGCCAGTATCAGAAGTATCTGTGAATGGTACATAGAACACATCAATTTAAGGCAGTTTTACAAGACCTGTTGCAGAGCAGACAGGTTGTGCTGTGAGAGGAATGTGACCTGCATTGCTGTCTCCCATGCTGTGATGCTAAAACACTTGGCAGGAAGAGTATTCAATAGATTGGGTTTATGCACCATTCTGAAAAAAGCCTCCTTTGTCCTAGCAGGACGTAGTCTGCCCTAAAGACAGGTGTGTACTGAAGCATGGTAATTCTATTTATTGAAAATGGAAAGCATGGTAACAAAATTTAACAAAAATCCTGTGCAAAACTGCTTAGAAGGTTTTCACAGGAAAATTCTAGATTTGATTTTAGTTAAAAAAGGCTGGTGAACAGACAGCACACCGCAGCTAAACCACACATCTGCCAGATGTGGAATAGTGCTCCTGCGTTATTGCATGCTGTCAGCATTTGAGAACTTGCAAATCCCATCCCCAGCGTTAGGGCTGGATCTTCTCTGTGCAACTACTAAAATCTTGCAGCAGGAGGCACTTTTGTTCTTTGTGTGTGATTGCATGGAAGCCAGCCCCACGTTCAGGAGCTTATGTGGGTGCAGACAACTGCCCTGTGCCAGGTGGGTGGGAGGAGAGCATGCTCCGCCGCATCTCCGAGGCTTGACCATCCCTTTGCCTCTTGCCGTGCTCCAGGCTCTTCTGCCTGTTTGGTTCACCTTCTGTGGGAAAGCTCCCTGGCTTCATTTCCCAATCCCTTCCTAATTTTCAACAGTGTGTTTATGACCTTCTCAGTCCATGCAGGGCAGGTCTGGAGCATGGCCCGATTTAGCAAATTTCTACATAAACCAGCTGAAGCCAGGACCTGATGATCAATCCTACCAGAAGCTCAGGCTGTGAAAGCAGAGAACAGTAGCAATAGAGGTTTCATAGGTGAGCTAACAACCTACAGACAGAGCTCTCCTTGGCTTTCACATGAAGTACGGTACCTAAAGCATACTGTACATACGTCTGCTGCAAAAAAGAAGGACAACTTCTGGAGTGCTTCAGCGTTCCTAAGCTAACTTGTCACTGTTGAAAGGTGAAGCAGCTGAGGTACAGTTCCCAAAGGACCTATAAAGTTGAAGTCTTCTGCTTCTTTTAACCAGTCCATCTTAAAGTCTTCTGCTTCTTTTAACTAGGCCATCTGCCTGTTATCTGCAGCTATGTACAGTTGTGGGGGAGTTTAATTAGCATAAAGGAGAAAGGATGTGTTCCTAGTACCTTGTAGGTGAAGGAGGAGATGGGTGGAAAATGTGTCTTCTAGCATAGCACCTGCAGCATATGCGAGTGTTCACATAATTAACAGCAATAATTCACAAGCACGTGTTTACTGCCTTTTTTATCAGTAAAAATCCAAAGCAGTTCATTTAATAGATTTCATAGAACTTGAGGTCAGAGATCTAGGCCTAGTTTTGTTGTTCCTCAATGCATCTGCTTTCTATCAGCCACCTCTCTGATACTGTTTAAAAAGCCAAACAGAAACACACCACTTTGTGAACAATACTGTGCCTGTCTAAAGATCCACCTGCTTAGCTTTAATTATATTCAGAGCTTCCAACTCTGTATTAACTGACATCAAACGCTCCAAAAATTTACCCATAATAAATTAACTTTAAATGAAACAAGAGGCAAAGACCATCTGAACCAGACTGCATACCAGGTGTCATGTCCTTGCACATAGACCACATCTCAGGGCACCCACTTCCATTGCATTATCTGACTTGGGTACTGATGACAGGCGATGAAGGAAAAGATATTAATCTGCATGAAACAGTGACTTATGCATAAGTAATTTCTAAACTGCACCATTTTTAAAAAATTTTTTTTAAACTAGAACATACATAGCTATTTGTGTCTCCCCTTACAGCTGTGAGAAGGGATTAGTTCCAAAGTACATGGCTTAGGAGAGGAAGGCTGGCGAGATCTCACATTTGAGGACAGAACTGCCTCATAAAGAGTTTATAAAGATTATGGGCTCAGAATGAGGACAAATCAGTGCTGAGATATTTTTGTTTCCATCCTCACACAGAGCATCATCAGGAAGCCCCTGATGTTGGAAGGAGCCACCAGCTCTGGGAGTGCTTTGAAGCCTGGCAGATATTTTCATATATCTTCCATATATATATATATATATACACATATATATATATCTTCCTGAAAATTTCTTTAATGTCTATAGTGCTATTATATGCCATGTAAGATGCTCTGGAGTGTTGTCACTGAGAAGAATAATACAGAACATGAAGATAAAGACTGCAGGGTCTTCACTTCCAGTTCTTCTCAACTCTCTAGGGAAGTCTTAGGGGTATATTTGGATATATCTCAGAAGCAGTGCTGCTTCTTTTGTCCCAAAAGATGGCAAAACAAATTACAATGCTCTCTCTGTTCACCAAAAAGTGGATTTCAAGAAAAAAGTGGAAAAATTATAGCTATGGTACTAGACTCTATCCCTAGATACCCACCATAATGAGGAAATATTTCACATGGTGTCATATTTTAGGCTTTCACCAAGAACATAATTAGCCCATCATGCTTAAAAGCCTCTTTTACCCCGGGAATATCTCCAAAACATGTCACTGAGTTCCACATTTTTCCATTTCAGATTTCAGAATAAACTGCTGTAGGTTTCCAGCAGAGAGGTTTCCTCTAACTGGTGGCTCTGCAAATTCCACTGAAATTCCCTGAAATCCCACGCATGATACACCCCACTGATGCACCCAGTGGGCTAGCCCCAGAGGTATGCTGAATTTGCCTTTTGTCTCGTAGTTGGAAAGTAGTGTAGAATTTCTCCAAATATGTTAGGGGTATCTGAAATCTCAGTCTCTCTAATCCAATCCTTATTATTCACCACTCCCTTTACCTAAGAGGAAAAGTAGCACTGAGAGCTTTGAGGTTGCTAAAGTCAGGGTCGTGTGCTACTCCAAAGAGCAATTCGTTGCAATGGCAGCAGGATTTTCACAGTTGCTTCTCAGGCCAGAGCCTAATTTAGGGCAGGGCAAGCGATGGGCAATTGAGGCTCATAGCTCAGGAGGGGCTGGCAATGGTGTGTGCATGGGCAGCGGCCCCTGTTCCCCTGGCAGGGTGGGGGCAGTGACAGAGGTTGCATGGGGACTATGGGGTCCAACAGCAGAATGATCCCACTCCAGTTGCAATTCCCACTAATTCAAGAGCGTGATGAGCCTTGATGCCATGGCTGCTTTTTTGAGCCCAGGTTGTAAAACTGTAATGGTCCAAAAATCCTAGTTTACCTCCAGAAGCTCAAATGTAGCAAGAAGGTCTCCTCCTGAAAGATTTCCACAATACACTGGGTGGTAAGAAAGTTTAGGTGGTTCATAGTTTTGATCAGCAAGTCTCACCACAGGGGCAGCCACTGTAGACCCAATATATTCTGCTTTACCCTAAATAAAGGAGAATATAGGTGTCAAATGCATTTTAATTTCACAGCTGTCATAGGAGCCAAGAAGATGCAGAGTTTAGTATTTGTGAAAAAGCCTTCTCCTGAAGTAAACAGCAAAATAAAATACAAGGCAGCTATGAAAATGGAGGGGTTGAATAGTTAGTACTTCTACAAAGCATCCAAAGTTTCTGAGCTCTACATTCAACCAGTGAGACTGCGTCAGAGTTTGCGTCCCCAGACTTAGGCATAATATTTACACTTGTGTGCAGGGGAGGTGGGGGCAAGATGCTTCTGATTTCTCTAAGCCAGCCTTTGGGGGCAAGATTCACTTGCAAAAAACAAGGCCACAGCTTTGCAGGGACATGAAGTGAGTCTCAGGGCTGCAAACCACTGTAACACTGAGCTCCATTCGGGAAGGTCATCCATTTAATGCCTGTTGAGTGACACAGCTTTGCTTTCACACTGGCAGGAAGATGTAAGAGCCCAGGGTTTTATTAAGGAGGGTTTCGAGTTTACCACTGCATCGTCATCATACAGCTCGATGACGATCTCTGGTGGGAACTGAGCGATCTCCTCTCTGTCGCCATGAAGCACAATGCTGTTGAAAAGCAGTGTCTGGTTCCAAGTGGGGGATAGCGTCTGAGAAATGATCTAACAAAAGAGAGAAAAAGTTTAATGAGCTATGAATTGGGTTTTGGGAGCCCTTCAGCACGATGTGCTGATCTGCTGGTGGCATCCTTCCCCACAGCCTAAATGATTCCTTGTCGGAGAGACTGCATTTTTCAGCAGCCATTCCCAGCCAGAAAAATATGATTCTTTGACTTTGAGGCCAATACCTCTGGTGCCTTCATTTCCCTGTTTGCCTCACAGACCCCTCCCATCCATACATGACCACCAGTCTGTGCAGACAAAACTCAGTATTAAATTCAGAGAAAATCTGTTGGTTTAGGAAAGCAGGGGCATGCCTGTGCTATTAAAATAAAGTCTTTGCCCTAAACTGAGGCCAGTTTTCACTTCTCCAGGGTACATTTTTCAATCTTGTTTTTACTTCAGTGCAATGACACATAACACTTTAGAAAAAAAGAAGAAGAAAAAGATATTTTAATGAATCACTCATAATAAATCGATAGGTTTTTATTTGTTGTAATTTGGCTTATGTGGATGTTTATGGCATTTCATCATAGACAATGTTTTAACCATCTTGGCAGGAAATATATTTAACAAAGATAACATTTTAAAAGGGAAAAACATGCCAACTGCAAAATGACTCATAACCTGCTATCGTTCTTTCCAATGGAAATAAGGCTCTTGACTACAGTTTATTGGCACTTGGCTGACAGTCTTCTAAAAACATGCAAGTTATCGGCTGCAACATTTTATTCAGGCAGTGAATAAACTTAACACTTCTGTGCCTATAAAATGCTATTTTTCCTGGGCCAAGTTCTACTTTCCTGAATCTGGTGCATCTAAACGGTAACTTCATTGGCTTCATTCACCAGGTTTTATTAGAAGTTATAATCACATTACAGGAAAAAATCAATTTGTATCCCTGAGGCAAAAGCAGCACCATCACCTATGACTTAGAGCAAAGTTTTTGATCCCACTCCCTTAGGCACATGCTACAGAACTTGCTTCCTAAGAAAAGAAGGTGTCTGAATAATGTTAGAATTAATTAAATTAAAACAGTCTTTTGGGGGAGGGATTGGATGGGGGGTTAAACACTTTTTCTGAAGCAAGACCACGTTTGGCCCAGCAAATTCTGCTTGTGGCACGGGTTTCAGAACTCCCATTCCTGTTTTAGCTCCAGGGAAGTTGTAGAGGTCTCAGAACCTCTGAAAGTCAGTCCTTGCATTCTGTGAGGGACCATCCTCCTGCTCATTTGCCAGGGCTGTACTTCAACCCTTCTTGCTGGAGCTCTGTAGAAGTTTCCCTTTCTCTCTAGAGGCTCCATCAAATGTCCACAGGAGAACATTTGTCCACTGGAGATGCCTGAGGGAGATGTGAGGCCGCTCACTATGGGCACATTTTTGCAGCATTTAAGTGATGCAGAATGTTTTCAGCTCGTTTCAGCTTTGCCACTCTAAAACCACAAATGCGCTTTGCCAAATTCCATCGCAAAGAACCGTGCTGGCTCACACAGCTACAGAAGCCATATAAAGGCCTTCACTCTTTGCTCAACCATTGCACATGCAGACTATGGGCTATGGGAAAAGAGAACCATGGGGGTTCATCTTCATACCAAGCAATGACAACAGCCCAAGCTTAAACCATACAGAAAAAGATGTAGAGCAATGTATTTCACTTGCTGCAAAGGCCCAGCAACCCCAGATAATCTGAGATCTGAAGGAACTAAAATAAATTAGTACTACCACACCTCATGTTAGAGTAGTGCGTTACACCTGAACTTTTGCCTTGCTTGCAGTGGACTGTCAGGAGTTGCCCTTTAACAGCAGGCATCTAACTTTTCCTGCTAGGTACCTCCTTGCAAAACCAAGAATTTTCCTTTGCATGGCTTAATTGGAAAAAAATAATTGTGTTTTCTTTTGACTCTGGAACTTACCTTTGTGGTCTGGCAGTGTGATGTGAAAGTAACTTTTGCAAAAGGATCGGAAAGTCCACTGCTGTCAGCTGCAATGAGCCCCCTTGCCTGATACATGTGGGCTCTCAGCTGGAAGAACGTCGGGGCTACATCATTGCAAAGAAAACAGTAATGTCAGCTTCATGGAAATGGTGCAGCACATAGGTAGGAAGGGAAAATTCACCACCCGCCGTCCAACGAGGATCTGACAAGGGGAACTGTTGCTAGCGCTGTCTCACTAGTGAAACACCTGGGGCACTCAGATGTTGTATAAGACCTCGGTATTCAGTTAAAATCAATGCCTGATGTAAGTCTCTACTGCAAGGTTGTTACTGGTTTATCTACCAGGTGTTCAACATGGTAGCTTCATCAGGAGAACTGAAAGATGCTTCCTCATTACGAGGAGACAGACCCATGGGACAGGGAACAGGAATTGAAGGAGAATGGGGTTTTGTCTTTCCCTGACATCTGCAAAGTGGCAGTGGCAGGACTGATGACTTGGCAATGAAACCAGCCTTTTCCAATCAAAAGGTGCTAAACTGTGATCTTCTTAGAACAGTTACTTTAAACAGAGGTTTTGCAGCCCTCTGAATGAGGGCTTTTGGGGCCATGTGTTTCTTACAAGACCTCCTAATTGCTAACATGGAGAAGAAACAGTGCCTTACTTTTATACAGCAGGCAGGCAGGTGGGGGCACCACACTGTGCCCTGAGCTGGTGTTGGATGGTATTTCATATCCCACAAGTAAATTCTCCATGATGTTCTGGGCAAAACTGGCAGGTCCAAGCCATAGGTAGATGTCCACCTTTGCCTGAACAGTCCAGCCCAGTGGACGCTTGCCTGGTAACTGAAGAAAAACATCCACCCATCACCAACAAACTCAGGGAAGAAAGATGGCTGGATGCCGAGTCCTACCAAGCCAGAGTGAATAAAGGAGCATTCGCTGCGTTCATACACTGAAAAATGGCATTTCACCACAGTGAGTGGCCCTGAGACCCATTTAGCACAGAAATTTGCTTGGTTGAGTCTGGGTAAATGGCATACTGGTGGATACGCAGAGGTTTGCGCAGACTAGCAAATAGCTGCAAGCCTATCGGTGCTGGCCAGTACCTAATTTTTCCCAGACTTCAGCCCACTTTACACTTCATACAGTTTTGCTGGTCTCTAATAGTTAATCCCATGTATTACTAAAAATATTACCCCACTGGGTAGGTCAGAAAACATATTCCAGGATAAAATGCTATTAGTCTTGACAAAAAATACTATTATTTCCTTCCTCTCTGCTCTCACTTCATCTACCCCTGCTAAGCTCGGTGTTTAGTATTATCTGTTCTTAAGGAGTTTCCTGATATTGAAGGGGCTGGAGAGTTAATTATGGCATTATTTTTTTTTCTCATGCAGGCAAATAGTACTGTGCTATGACAACTATTAGGAGCTTAGATATTTCTATCTGTTCTTTAGCTGTGCTTTACGGGATTGTGCCCAGCAGCTCCAGCTGAAAAACCACTAAAAAGTCAGTATATGAAGTTACTGTTGTCTCATGTGTTTGGACTTTCCCTGCTGGCCATAGTAACCATTACATTTCCACTGATGGGTACTACCGGTCACGCTGCCTTTGCAGAAGTATATCCACTAAGACTTTCCTTCAAGGTGAATAATCCCATAACAATATTTTGAACATACGTTGCACAGACCTAGGCACATTGCAAATAGCAAGCATGAATAACTGCTGTATTACCTCTGAATACCTAGGTTTCCTTGCTATGTGTGTTGCTGCGAGCTGATCTCTTAATCTCCTCACGGACTTGCATGTGCTGCATTCTGACGTCTTTGCCAGCAAAGAGGCCGTACCTCTTCTATCAGTTTACGTATGTAGCTATAGATAAACAAGGCTATAAACTTGCCATAACAAGTAGTGAAAGAATTACTTACTTGGACACCAAAAGCCTGGCAATGATCCAGTGCTTAAAGAAGGATAAGCATAAATATAAGAAGTAAATTAATAAGAAGTAAACATTAATAGATGACAGATACAAATGTGTACACGTTTTTAGTATACTGCAAAGATGAGCCTGTAAAATACAATCCCTGGAAAAAAATTGAATACCAAATACTCCCCAGGTATTACCTGTGTTTGTAGAGCGCCCCAGACTTACTTTCAGGAAATGGGTTTTAATCTTCCCACAGTCCTTGCCTCTCTGCTCTTTCACTGGGGAATAGAGTACGGTTTTTGCTGGGACTCTTGCATATGCAACTCTCTTGTTGCTGCTAAGCATCCAGATGAACACATCCGGCACCGTGTCCTGCGGCTGATAAATGACAAGGAATATTGAACTAAGCCTGAATTCTTTCTATGAGCCACCACCAATATTTTTATTTTAACACTCTTTACCAAGAGCCAATTCCCTCACAGCTCCTGTGGAGTGGCAGAAGTACATGCAGAATAAAAGAGGCTGTCACTTCGTGCTTTGCAGCCCAAACCTCCATTCCTAAGCACAGCTGAGGGTAAAGAGCTTTGTAGAGTAACTAAGGAGCACCCACTCTGTAAATCATTTCAGGAGAAACTAAAACTAAAAATCTGGGTATGACTCTGTCTCAGAAAATAACTCACCCACAGGCTCTGTAAGCTGAAAGTACCTACCACAGAAATGCCATCAACTTCATCTAAACCGCAAAGGACCAGGGCCAGACTCAAGCACTGGCACATGATCATCTCTTCTGCTTATGGGGATGCTCCATGGCATGGCCTTGCCCTGCCCCAAAAAGCATTTCCCTAAGGAAAGCCTGAGTGTGGTTTGAAGCAAAGACCAGATGAGGGGCTGTTCCCAGGAGGCACCATGAGCATGGTCACTCTGTTTTGGGAAGGAAGGGAATTTGGGCATAGGATGCAAACCATGCCAGGCTGTGCCACTTGCTCTCTAAGCCAGGGAATAGCCATGGTCCTGTTTAGTTTGCTAGCACAGACAGCTCTCAGAGACACAGCACTCCATGAGCTGGATTTTGGTCTGACCAAGCTGTTCTGCTGTTACTCTCAGGCTTAATAATATGTCTAAGCAGTGTCTTTACAGTATAGAGACCCCTGAGCTCATACCAGGCCAAATCACTACATCCATACAAGTGGAGACATGAATTCAGATCAGAAAGCAGGCTGACTCCAAACCACTAAGACACATACGGGATGACATTATTTTAAAAAAAAAAGAAAAAAGAAAAAAGAAAAAAAAAAAAGAGGAAAAAAAAAAACAAAAAAATCTCTTCACTGTTTCTTCCCTCTCGAACTGCTGATGCAGTGGATTGAAGATGGTACATATCCCCAGGGAATTTTCTTAACATATTCCTTCTTTTTTGTAAAAAAAAAAAAAGAGGAAAAAAAAAAAAAAGAAAATACTCTCTATACTGTATCCTCTCCTTACCACATAGCCCAGTGTTTCCTACCCCAGTCTGATAACAGCTCCATTTAACGTAAAACAGGATTGGGCCCAGAGGACAACTCTTTGGATAACCAGGCCAGGAGTTATTATTCACATAGGATTATGAAAATCAAAGTCAAGCCCTGGATTTTAAATTTATCTGAATTTCTGTGTGGATTACCTCATCAACCAAGAATCGAAGTTTATCTATAAAGCTCTGAGTCTCACGCATCATTTCATCCAGTGGCATCTTCTTTTTCTGCTGCTGAACAATTCCCTTGGCATCACTGGCCATTGCTTCCTGCAGTCAGGAATATGTACAATACAATATGTATTTTTATTTACTATCAAGTAGTTTGAACTGGACACGGAAGGAGAAAACAGTCTGATTCAAGTTGAAAAGAGAAGATGGAAATGTTTGATTCAAGGCAACAATTACTTTATTTGTCACAACAGAAAGTCATCAACTCTTTGGAGCTGAATAACATAAAATGTGAATGTCCCCCATTTTCTCTTTGCTTGTATGTATACTGCATGTATGGAAGCCCCAAGAGACATGTGATTACCACCTAGAATTTTTGGGCCTTGGTCCTGACAGAAGCCACAGCCAAATTCTGTGCTACAAACAGTAAATAAAGCTAATAAAAATTCAGTCTACCTCCACCCAGTTTGGTTTCTTCTCAATGGTTCCCTGGAGGAGGTGACTAGGTCCGGGAATATCAAATGCCGGACTTAATTAGTCTTAAAGTTCAGCCCCACCACAGTAATTAAATGCCTAACATCAGTGTTAATTTGATGTTTTTCCACTGAACTCAGCATCATCCCATTTTAAGATGCATGGAAATGAAAAATCAGTTCATTACTTTAATGTCTTATTTGTATTTAAAAACAACATGTTCTGGATTATTTTAGGCTATCTTACAACTCTTTATTAAGCACAGCAGGGTTTATTAAAAAAATGCTCTTGGATACCATATTCCTATTAATTACAAAGCATTCCAGTATGGTGAAGTTAAATAGAAATTAAAATGTACACATCCAGCGTGCTTTCAGTTAACATAATTGCGTCAACATTTAAAGGAAAAAACACACATACCAGCTCTTGCTTGAACAGCATGAGTCTCTTTTTGTCCAAAGCAGTGTAATTCAACCCTTTGGGCTTCTTTTCAGCAATGGTAATGAAGAACCTAGGACACGCAAATAACAGGCTCTTTAAATGTGTCATTTTTTTTTTTTAACGTGAGTTGCTAAAATATATTGAAATGAAATTTCTCTGTCTGCTGCATTACATGAACCAGAAGACAAAGATGCTGAAAATCTCTAAAATAAATACTGAGCACCTGTAAGATTCAAAGAATAGAGTCCAAAAACTCTGCACCACATTTCACAGAAACAGGGTTAATATCTAGAAATCAGGATTTATATCTATTTTGAGCCCAATCATACCATCTGACACAGAGCCCACTGGGTGATTTATCCTAACATATGGAATCCTTTGCTTTTATCTTAACCTTGTCTTTTTTACAGTACATCTATCACACACTTTATTAAATCCTAGTTATCCCATATAGGCTCTGTTGTTAGAGTCCAGAAAGCCAAAACAATATGACAATGGCAGCAGTCTACTGTCAATACTTAATATTGGAAATAACAATAAAATATTTTCTCTGTATAAATAGGAACTGCAATTTGGGAAGGCCTTGTTTTTATAGAAGAAAAAAAATAAAATATGTATCTGAGCAAGCTACTGTGCTTTTTTTTATTATCATCAGTTTCCTTGTCTAGCCTCGAATTTGTAGCCAACATATAAAGTTGATTTTCTGTATGTCTCTTGTTACCTGCTTTGATTGATAAAATAATTTAGGGCCGTCCTCATTTTCTCCTCAGATGCAATCTCTGAAACCTTGACCAAGTCCTTTACTTGCTCTAATGATTCTTCCTATGAAAAACACATGAAAAAGCTGTTATGTAGAGGAAGGCACTTTGTCATTCTGCCAGTGCTATAACACCATTATTCACTGCATGACTGGCAAGAACGAAGGAGGCGACTTTGTAACCTGACAGAACAGGACCTTTGATATATCACTACGCTTGAAGTGTGCAGAGAGAAGACTCCAGCAGCAAGATTTATTTTGACCTTTCCCCAGTCTCTCCAGCAACTACTCCAAGCTACTACTGCTCGGAGCAGCTTTGTTTTCTTACTTCTTTGGTGAGGATCAGTCACTGGGAAACATTCTCCACTAGGTAGGAGGAAAAACTGTAGTTCTCCTTGGTTCTTTTTCCAGCCCTGCTGCTTAAATTTAGCAAATTGCTGGAGTTAACTTCTTAAACTTTAGCGGGCACCTGAATCCATATGCAAAGTCTACCGCAACACCTACTGTTATCATTGAGAAATGGAGTCTGTTCTTACAAACTAAAATAAATGGCTGGATTTCCAGCAAGGTCTGTGGGTGTTCAGGTACACTGACAAACATATCTCTCCATATACATTCAGATGTTTAATTTTCAAATAGCTGTGTTCAAAATGTTGGCCTATAAGCCACTCTCTTCTCATGATGCAACCTTGCATGACTATGACTTCAGTGTTGTTGCTCATGAGGTATGTAAGGATAAATGAAGGATGAATCAGACTCTTAATCTGAGTGCCCCAAATTAAAATATTCAACGTTAGAAATCACTTAAAAGAAAACACTACTTCTTTCTCAAGACTGTTGATAGTCAACTTTAAACAAGAATAGAAAAAAACATCATTATGGGAAAACACACTGACTAGGGCATCACAGTGACTGCCCATGAGGCAATGTGCCATTTTCTCTCTATCAATGTTCTTAGGAAAACTAAACCCAAAAAGTGTCCTTTAAAGAGTCTCCAGCATAAACACAGGTTGAACTACATGGTCTGGGCAAGAAGACATCAGAGGAAGAGCCATAGGAGACAGAATTATTCTCTCTCTTGTATTTTGATTGCTTGACTGTTCTTACAAAGGATAAAAAGTTTCTGAGAAAAGAAGACAGCCCCATGGCCCCTCCCAAAAAAACCAGCTGTGGACAGGAATATTTGACTAGCTGTAATAGATCAAAGCAATTTGGAAAAAAAAAAAAGAGAGAAGGGGCTGATATCAGCTACTCTTTCACAAAATTAACAGCAAGG